TGTGTGTGTGTGTGTGTGTGTGTGTGTGTGTGTGTGTGTGTGTGTGAGAGAGAGAGAGATTGCTCATGCATTACATGACAAGAAAACTGAAGTTTGAGTATTTTTTATAGGTTTCTTTTGAAATAATGGAATTAAAACTTAGCTAATATAAAACTTAAGTTTTGCATGTAACTCGGTAAAACCTCAAGACATTTATTCTATATAATCCTAAACAAATGGAAAAAAAAAAACGATTACCATGAAGGCAGAGATGACAAAACACTTAAAGCCTACCCACATGCTGATCCGTTTCAATCACCTGCCATTGTACATTAACAAGTTTGTGCATTACTGCTGTCTTCAGATAGATTCAGATTCAAAAGATGTTATGCAACTGGTTGGGTTTTCATCAATAACCAAGTTAAAAGAAACCTCATATACTGATTTTGGCAGAAAAGACAGTCTAAGATTGTCCTGACTAGCACTAGTATTGTCTCTGGTCCACTCTGATTTATTGATTTTGACAAAGGACAGTGGTCTAAAATACAGGCAATAAAACAATAAAATCACAGAAAAGAGATGTGAAAAGGTTAATAATTAATTGTGAAGAAGATTAGAAGATAAACAATCTAGCAAAATGATGCATCAAAAGAAAGAAAGAGGAAAAAAATACTGCAAAAGTAGGCAAAACTGTATTTGGAGAATAAATATATTCCAGAACAAATTCAGGCATAGACCTCGGCTTTTATGGTCATCACATGAAGTAGCCCTGTGTGGAAAACAACTGCCCTATAGCATATTAAGTGTTATCAACTTTTGAGCAGGACAATGCAGAAGGAATTTGTAATAATTCTCATTTGCTTGTGCCATGAAACCAGAATTCAGTAATGACTCCTATGTGATGGGTTTAACTAATGCAAAATAAACAATATACAAGACTTGTGATTCAATGCTTCATATGGGGGATCATTTTCAAATACTGGACTGAAATGAATAGTATTTAAATCAAAAATACTTAATCAACTATTACACCCAATTATGAAAATATATTACAAATCATAATGTACTTAATCTTACCTGACTGTTAGGGTCCAATTCAATGGCTTTCTGGAAAGCAGTAGCAGCTTTGCTAGGTTCTTTCATGGCCATCAATGCCATTCCTTTTCTAATGTAACCTTTCACTAAAAAAATTATTATGAATTACATGGTGTTTGAACATGCAACAGCTTACTATATAAAATCAGAATAGTTAATCAATTTTCAGAGAGCAACATAATTATTTTGAAGTAGGTTTCAGTTGTGGAACGTATTTTAAACAAAGAAAATAATTTTACCAAACACATTAGACAAAATCAACAATTTCTGCAAATGTATTTCCAGAATACTCATTTTCCAACTCTAATGTCACTTCTGGCATTCCTATAGAGTTAATCCATTCAAAACAAAACCCCTTATTCAAAAACCAAATGCCACTTGCAAAATGAAACAATGATATTTATTCAGTTTTCACAGAAAAATTAGTTAGTAAATGATACATGTGTATTTTTAGTACTTTCCATGATTCATTTTCACAGTGATATGCAACTCCCATCATGATGTGATTCAAAACAACATGACAAGAAGTGGAGCAATATGCTCAAAGTGCAGAATGAAAACAAAGTAAACTGCATGATTAAAGAATGTTCTTATGAATTTGCAATTGTATTTTTCCATAGTAACTAACACTAACCACAAGCAGCAATTTATATCAAAAATATTGCTAAGTCATAATGTAAATTTAGTTGCCAGTCTTTTTCGCTTTACTGAGATATTAGTAAAAAAATTAAATCTACATCTTTCACCCCCTCCTATCAAATTCCTCCTTCAAAAAAATATCAATAATTCTCTGACAATTGCTGTTGGATTACTTCTGACTAATAGAAAGAAAAGATTATACTTTACTGAATTTTTAAACCTCAGCTTCATTGTTTGCCAGTGTGCAGTTTGCCTTGACCAGCTAATAGAATTTTTTAACCCACCTGTAACTTAGTTAAAAAAATCAGTTAAATTATAGTGGTTTTAGGACAATGTATTTTTTGTTTGAAAATATTGTACATTCTAAATTGATATTTGAATTAAAAAATTAATAAATTTTGAAGACCAACATTATCACAAAAATGTAGGCTTATGCTACATCGTCTACTTCCTTTTCCTGATAGAAAAAAAGATTAACTCAGGTACAAGTTCTAAGTTTCTTGTTTTTTGTTCAACATTTTAAATTTAATTATAAAAGTAACTAAAATGTAAAAATTAGAAAACTGAAATGAAACAAAAATATTTCTCTGCAAGAAATGGATGCAAGCTGCCACCATGAGGTAATTCAATACTTTGTTTATTGTAACTTGCAGCAAGCTCTTGCTGGATGATATATTCCTTTATGCTAGTTAAACCCAGTTCAAAGATCAATCGAGCAAAAATATTAAACAGATGGAAACTGTTACAAGCCTGAGGCTGTTTAAGACAAATAACACAGGCCTCCAAATGTAAACTTCATAAAGGTTGTTTTAGCTTTAATAATGGATTTTCCATATATCAGCTACTCAGAATTTGAAAATGATTTTAATTTTTTTTTTCTATCATGAAATTATTTTTTTTACAAATCAGGAAGAAAAAATCCTTACTTAGATCAACGGTTTTGGAAAAACAAAATTTAAAACCGTTTGCAGTGGTCCATGTCAACAACCAATTGGGGGTAGTCTGAAGCTGCCGCTCAATAAACCTCATGTTTGGCGACTGACACAAGATGTGGAAGTCGTCGACATAGAGCCCATTTGCAACAGTCGGAGGATGATTATTAGTGATGGCATTAATTTTAACACTAAAAAGTATGACACTCAAGACACAGCCCCGAGGGACTCCAAGTTCCCATGGAAAGGAACGGGAAAGAGTTGAACCACACGGACTTGGAATCGCCTGTTCAAAAGTTTTGAATAAAAATGGGTAAATGGCCACGCAACCCATAGGAGTGGAGGTCCTGCAAAATTCCATACCTCCACGTAGTGTCATAAGCCTTCTCGAGATCGAGGAACACAGAAATAAGGTGTTCTCTCTTGAGAAAGGCTTCCCTGATTGACGTTTCAAGTCGAGTCAGATGGTCCATGGTGGAGTGCTGTCAACGGAACCCACACTGGATGGGTGAGAGGAGCATGTTCAATTCCAGGAACCAAACAAGACGAGCATTAACCATCCTCTCTATGACCTTACAAAGACAACTAGTCAAAGCAATGGGACGATAATTAGAAGGAGTCTTGGGATCCTTCCCAGGTTTAAAGAAAGGGAGGACAATAGCCTGGTGCCAAGCATAAGGAAAAACATGCTCCTGCCAGATCCGGTTAGAACTAACCAGAAGAATAGCAAGAGAGGCAGGAGAGAGATGGCACAACATCTCATAATGAACATCATCAGGTCCGACTGATGTCCTACCAGATCGATGAAGAGCAAGTTTGAGTTCCACCACTGTAAAGGGGCGATTATAATCATAGAGACGATCGGCCCAAAAGGAAAGATGCGATCACTCTGCCCGAGACTTGATGGCCAAGAAGGAAGGGGAAGAAACAGAAGTGCTAGAAGCAAGAGAAAACCTGTGGCCGAGAGCATCAGCAATGCTCTGGTCATCAGCAACTTCCTGGCCATTGGAGAGCAAGATGGTAAGGGGATGGGAAGCATACCTCCCAGTGATTTTCCGAATCTTGTCCCATACAGTTTTGGAACTGGTAGAAGAGATGCTAGTAGTGAACTTAATCCAAGACTCCTTTTGGCTTTGATGTCGAACCTGCCGAGCATGGGCACAGGCCAGCTGATAAACAATGCAGTTAGAAAGAGAGGGATACCTTCAGAAGGTATCCCAGGCCCGTTTCTGAGCCTTCCATGCCTCCTGGCAGGCAGGACTCCACCATGGACGAGGATACCATGGAAAACGTGTTGAGGTCTTATGGATAAAATGAGCAGCTGCCTGGACGATACAGTCAGTCACTGCAACCACACAATCGCCTATTGATGGCAGACAGACAAAGGCAGGATCAAGTTCAGAGAGAGGGGTGAAAGACGGCCAGTCAGCCAACTTCCACCATGGCACTCGTGTCGGGTGGCATCGACCATGACCAACCTTCCTCATAATGATAGGAAAATGATCACTGCCCTGTGGGTCACTGTAGACCATCCAAAAAAAGCGAATGAAAAGTAAAGGGGAGCAACATGAGAGATCAGTGGCAGTAAAAGACTGACTAGGTGCATGAAAATAAGTATATGTTCCAGTATTGAAAAGAGAAGGGTCGTGATCTGAGAGCATACACTCTATGGAACGACCCCTCCCAACAATATCAGCACCACCCCAGAGGGGGTTGTGTCCATTAAAGTATCCAAGAGGTAAAAAGGGAGATGGCAACTGGTAAACGAGAGCATCAAGGTCCGATTGATCATAAGTTTCCCCAGGAGACAGGTAGACAGAACAAACAGTGATGGTACGACCCAAGGAAACATGGATGGCTATGGCCTCCAATGGTGTATCGAGGGATACAGATAAGGAGGGCA